TCCCACATGCATATCTACGGAAACACCATGGCCGACTTTCAGGCAAAAATTGCAGCGACTACAGTCACAGAAAACCAGCCGATATTAAACTCCTCTGCGAACATCAATAATCATATCGCGACACTACTAAAACAGTCATGGGACTCTACATGGAGAAAATACAAAGCCAGCTCAACCCATCAACAACTCGACAAATTCTACGATTTAAAAACAAACCCTAAACGCAATAGAAGAAATCAAGTGGCAGTAACCCGAATTAGGACCGAACACACCAAATTGACTCACTCATACATACTTGAAAACGGTTGCTCCAGAAGGTGCGATATATGCAACACAACCATAACCATCAAACACATAATATTGGAATGCAGAAAATATAACCACGCCAGAAGAAGATTAAACATCAATAAGAACCTCACTTAAGCAACCACATCAACAGCGTATCAAGACACATTACTAAAATTTTGTAAATCTATAGGAATTCTACGCCAACTATGAAAAAGTTATGTCAAACCATCCACTTCCGACCATAACCTTGTCTCTGTAAACTGGTCAACAGTCGCTAATAACTTGGGTAGTTGATGCAACTATAAACCACTATTTAAAAAAAAAAGTTTTATAATTTTAGTAAAGTTTCAAAGTTTTTGGAATGCAAATTTAGAAGACCATTGGGAATTCTAGAACTTCCAGAAATAAAAATTTGGAAGTGCAACAGTATCAAAATTCGAACCCAAGCTCTTGAGTCTTAACATTTACAGTTGCGTTATTTAAGAAATATAAAAATTCGAAAAATCCTTACCTTCTTCAAACGCTCAAAATTTAGAAATACGGTAGTTTAAAAATGCCAAAATTCGACAAACCCGAGCTCTGAAAGTTCCAAAAATCACAGGATTTATTTGGAAGAGTAATAAATTACAAAGTACCAAAATTCGAAAAAGCCAAACTTCGAAAATCCTAAATTTAGAAGTATAATATTTGAAAAGTTCAAAAAACCCGAACTTCTAATTTCCATCATTAAAAATTTGTGTACCGAAAGTACCGAAATTTCAAAATCATAAAATCCCACAATTTCGAATTCTAAAATTTACAAATTCTAGAGTCCCAAAATTACAAAACAGCAAATTTCAAAATTCCCCAAAGTTTCATAAAACCTCAAAATTTCCGAAAATTCCAAAATTCTAAAATCCTAGTTATCAAGGTTTCCACCGTCTTAAAATTCCACATTTAAAATACAAACCTCCCTAAATTCAAAAACGTCCATATCTCTGCCTTACCCTTTACTAAAACAGACTTTAATTGGTTCAGATCGATGCACACCATATGTTCGCAATTATGGATGACATCGACACATTAATCGAACGCAAGCTAAATCTGATAACCGCTAATAAGTTTTTTCATATGAAATTGTGAAACAGGCGTGAATGTTAATGAAAAGTTTGTACGTGGATGAAATCGTCTACTTTTGAACAGATTAATCGATCCGGTTCTCCGTTGTAAAATGCGAGCCACTGTGTTGTTAATTAAGCGATAACAGCAGGAAAGCGTGTTACTGGTATCGTGAACGTTCTTTATTTTTTTTTTATTTTTTCTTTTTTGGCAGGGTGATGGATTCTCAAGAGGTCGTACAATGGTGAATGCACGTTGTTGTGAAAACCACGCCTCGAAGGGTCGGCCATCTTGATGTATGAATGGGTGAATTCCTATTGGCTATGACCTCTGAATTCAGGGTGTTTCATTCTCAGAATCCCTCTCGGGATGGTGCTCGATTTAGTAACCGAACTTCCGATTATATCAAGAACAGTTGAAGGTCATTAGATACAAGATAGCCCGACGATGATGAACCTTTTCCTTCTTTGGTAGTGATGTACTGCTTTGTATTTGGCCATCATGGCGTTAACTTAACACTTTGCATTTTAAAGCATTTTCGTCGTTGATATTGATATTAGTTTATGACAGTTGACTCGAAAACTTTCTGGCTAAACTTTGATGAACTTTTTGGAAATTATTCTTCTTCTTTAATATTCGAGCATTTTGAGCAATTCGAACGAGTCTGAAATTCGAATAATTGAATAATTCATATAAATTCGAAAACGGAAATTCAAATTGTAGGGGAAGGTAGCCTAATTTGGACCAATTTTATATTACTCACTATATAAAAGCATGGAAGGAGTATTAATAAAAATTAAGTAATAGAAAAGAAACTCACTAAGTGTAGCTTCAAAATAAAACCATTTATGAAATTTTATATACCATTTATAATAGTAAAAAATAAATTCAAAAAAATCTTGTCATCGGTCCAATTTAGGAAACCGGTATCCTTATTTGGACCGCTAGCTTCCTAAATTGGACCATTAGTTTTTTTAACGACAATTACAACAATAGAACGTTTTAACTGCAGTACTAACTCCAGTACACGGAGTATGAATCCAAATGCGACATTTCATACATTGTATCATATCTTCTTCCTTGGTTTCTTCACACAATGTACAAAACAATGAACCACCATTTTCTTTTTTATTTTTCGGCATTTTGTCAAAGTTTGGTGAACTTATTTTTTTAAAGTTTTTTAAGTTTATTCGGTCTAACTGCGATTTGTAAGGGCTGCTTGATATTTTCACTGCTTTCTGGGCTATTGGCGCACTGCAAGAAGACGAAGGGCCATCTGGATTTTGATTTTTCTTTGCTCGCGGTGATATTTCTTCAAGAACATTCCTAAATTGTTTACTCTCGTTGTCACTTCTATCTTCTTCATCATCACTGCTAGAAGTT